AAAGAGTGTGATCTGTGTTTGTGCCCTGATCCCCCTTAAATTTTCCTTTCCTGGCATAGATAGGCTGAGTCTTTATTCTGAGTATCATCATGGGAGTATCATTACCCAACCTTCTTTAGCATATCAATGAAAGAAATATGAAGAAAACAATAAAAAATAGTTCCACTGCTCTGAAAAATACTGATATCATAAAAGTCTACTGTCACATGAATTTAATAATATGACAGTATTGTTCAAGTTCACCTTCAACCCTTACATTCAATGAAAGAGAATAGTATATGGATCTAGGTTAGGAATAAGTGTAAGTATTTTCCTGGCTGTTGAAGATCAGTCTTTGTATGCATATTTTACAGGGGTTACAGGAACTGAAAATGTATTTTATAAATAAGCATTCATTCACAAGAATTTATTTATCTTCATTTTCACATTTTCTATATAGAGGTATTTACTTGATACTCAGTTCAAAAGGACACATTTCCTGGTTTAATCTATCTGTGTGTACCAAAACAAATGTGCAGATACAGAGAAAATAGATTTATCATGGCTTTAATGAAGTGGACAGCTAAGATAAATATATATATATGTCTATAAATGATTACTAAATCTGAAGTAGTGGCTTTTTGCCAAATATCTGTATATATATATACATACATTGATTTTTTTTTCTCCACCCCCCCCAATATTTTAATTAGGTGAAGTCTGCTGGTCTCAGCTGCCTTTACAGTTGACTTCATTGTCAGTTCTCAGATGGCCAATAGGGGTAATTTTACACGGGTGACTGATTTCTTTCTTTCCATAATGTGCCCGGTTTCTACAGGCTTTGCTTTCTGCACACTGCTGTATTTCACTGGTTTGTCTCTAAACCAGCCATGTTTAGAGCATATTTAATTTGCATCACGTTTTTTCTTTCATTTTCTTCAATAATTTGAGCTTTAAGTTTTTTTGGGGGGCGGCAGTTTATGATGAGCAGCACATTTAATTGTAATAACAGAAAAGTCCAACAAATATGTCTATATGGATGTTATTCTGTGTGGATCCAAGTAAAGAATTGCCATTCCAGTAATGTGGCAGAATTCAAATTAATGAAGGAGAAAATTTTGACTTAAAAAAATACAACTGTGTGTTGGAAAATTGCACAAAGTTTATGTATACAAGACTTATGTTGTATAATGGTGTTTTATAAGGTTGAGGTTTTATGGCTACAAATCCTGATGCAGTGTTGCAACTTGTCTTAATTATGTAAGTATTGTCAAAATGGCAATGGAAAATTGAAAACATATTAGGGGGTTGTGACATCTTCCTAATGTTGCTGTTAGAGCACTAATTGGAGATTATTTTTGCTGCTGTTTGTTAGTTTTTTATGTTTGCAGGATACAAGGTCTGATCTAAAGTGCACAAACATAGGTGGAAATTTCCCCCTTGGCATGAGTGGACTTTGGAATAGGTCCATGTTTGGTTTCCTTCAGTCCAGGACCACAAACATTCTTACAGAGTACATAAATATTGGTCCTACAAAAGAAAAAACTGAGGCAACACATTGTGACTTGCAAAATATGTAGCAAGTATGCAAGCACAGAAGAAAGACTTGAGTTTTATCATTAAAATGGCTAAGTCTTCCCCAAGCAGAGAGCATATTAAGAGGCAAGAAGGCCACTATAATTTTCAGACAGAGCTTAAGACAAAAGATTCTTGCTCTGTTGTTATTTTGGCATGTTCTCGCCGCTAAGAGTTCTTGCTGTGCTTTCTCTAATTCCTCTCGCATTCTCGTTACTGTTCACCTGTTCTGCCTCATTCTCCTGTCTGTTATATGACTCTGCCTCCCCACTTCCCAGCTTTCTCATGTTGGTTCCACACTATCTATTTTTTACCACATCTTTTCTTCATTATAAATAGGTAAATAAGTATATAAATAGTTTGTATGTGTTAACATTGTATGCATATTATCACTTTGACCACTTTAATAATACTTCTGAGTGTATTTTATAGTTTCATTATACTGTAATATGTTGCATCTTTTTTGGTTTTGTTTTGTTAGAATTATGGCTGAGACAGAAGTGAAAGAGGAGATTTAAAAGTGAAATGTTTTGTTTGTTCACAACCTATAGCCTTTATATTTGAGAATATTCAAAAGACCAAAGTGCGTTCAAAAGACCAGCAAAGCAGTGGAAGATGCAGAGAACGGAGAGGGGCAAAAGGGGTCAAAATATATATATAACTATTGACAGTATCAAGGAGCTTTTAATTGGAGAAGCTGATAGAGAAGAAGAGTTCAGACAGTTAGCAGGAGTCACCCTTCAAAATGTCTGCTCGTTTGCACTTCCTTTCTTCAGAAGATTAAATTTGGTTATTCCCACATTCACAGTCCTTCAAAAATGTACCCCTCATATAATGCACAAAAGTGTTTTCTTATATATTGTAAGGATTTTTTTCTCCAGATACTTTTCTCTTATTCTAGTGCATTTAGATTACTGCGAAAGAAAGCCAGTAGTTAGTAGTTTCTTTCTGGGTGTTGAATAGTTGTATTAATACTAACAATGTTACAAAGAAAGGTCTGGGTTCACACTCAGTTTGACCTGTGAAAATGTTCCAGGGTATTTTTGTCAAGTGTCTGTGGGAATATTTCCCTGTAAACCTGTGAGGCTTGTACAGTGATAGTGTAATATGTGATTAGTATATCAAATTGGTTTTAAATACCAGGTCAGATAAATCAGTACTTCGATGTCTGATTGTTTATGAAAAATCTTTTTCCTGCTTTTTGGGTAAATGATCTTAATAGTGTCTATAATCAGAGATTTTGGAGACACTTCTTTTGAATCAAAACAACACTTTTTCATGGTTGCACACTTTTGCAGCTCTGGAGAAGTATGTAAGAAGGAGGACTTAATATGGTAATATTTCTAGATTCTCCGAGAAGGAATGAAAAATACTGAAAATATAAAAGAAAACTAGTTTGAAAAATCTCCAGAATAATTTCTTTGATTGTTCAGGCCAGCATATGAACTTTTGGAGTACTTTCCAAACCAAAGACTTTCTCAGAATCCTTTTTTTAAGAGTTATGCAGATCACCATGGTCATATACTTGCATGTCTTACATTTCCCTATTCTTTGGTCTGTTCTTTTGTCTTTTAGATTATGAATTTTGCAGTGACTCTGTCATTGCCTGTGTTCACACATGATATAAATATTCAAAAACAATAACCATCACAGTCAAATTAAAGGTGAAGTGGTTGTGGCTGTTTAATATGGCAGTGGCTGTCGTACTGAAACTTACAGGCCTCCAGAAGACCTGCTTCTTCTTGTTAGGGTTGCTGAGCTTCCTAAAACCAGAGAGAAACCCTGAGCACTCACTGGCTGCACCTGGGCGTTCCACTGCCACCTGCACACCAGCCGCCCCGGGCACTGATGCTCTCTGCAGCTAGCACAGCGGTCCTGCAGGCAGCTAGCTGTCAGGCTGCTGGTTAAATTTGGTGGTTGTCTGTTACTGTTAGGGAACAGATTTGAATAAAAAGAGCAATTACAAAATCCTGAATTATACACAGTGAAAATTTTGCTTGATTAAATTTTTTCTTATATTTCCTTTTCAAGGAAGGAATCAGACCTTCTATTTGTAGGACAGATTGGGAACTTAATGACAACTGGGGTTTCTGAACATTACTGTGCAAAAATACTGACTGTATACAGTGTCCATCATAGGACACCCATAGGTTAGCTTGTCTGTTTTGGTGACAAGATAAAGGAGGGTCTTTTTTACCCCCTTCTTGAGAGTTCATTGAGAAACCCGGCTTCTGTCCATGAGGAAATCAGATACATGTCTTCAGTAAGAACCTTTTTCAATACCTCATATGTTTATTTAATGCAAGTCTGCTTTATATCTTCTGGGTGCCAAATTCCACCTGCATAATGTAGTATAATTAGTAAGTATCTCACATAATCAGGATGTTACAAATTTGCTCAGAAAGCAAGATACATGTTCCTGGGATTTAACTTTCCTCTGGTCAGTGTCTGCTTTATTCAGATTTGGTAAAATACAATACTTAAGAAAAATCATTTTACGATGCTCTTTTACAGGTGCAACGTATGTTAAACAATATATCTGAGATATATATCAAAGTAGATATCAACATGTTTAATGTGTGGGCTTTTAAGATTGTGCATAATCGAAGACTAAATAAGCAGAATACAGCTAGTGTACATTCTCCTGTCAGTTTTAATCTTCTTGGAGGCATACAGCTGTCTTCTGCCACAAATGACATATTCCCTCTTTTCGTAGTTCACTGCTGAGGGCTGATTGCCTCTGCTCAGATTCTATTTTTATTTGACCCGAAGCCAATTGCGTATATTCTCTCAGACAAAACTGGACCTGGCATGACTTCTGTTCTTCATCACTGCCCTGCTGAAATGATTGATATTTGCCAGTGACTGTCACACTGAAAATTTCTTGCTTGCTTTTATATTGGTTTCTCAAATTTAGTGTTGGATTATAAACTAGACATTTTTATAATTTGAAAATGAAAGCAAATGAATGCTAGAGCCAGCCTTGCAGGCTAGGAGAAATCTCAGTTTGTTTCTTTAGAGATGTACTCACTCTTAGAGAAAGTTCAATGTCTTTGATATAACTGCAGTAAAATATGTAGGTCTTTCTGTGATTTTCCCACTCTAAGTTTTGGTTTTCAAAAAGATCAAAAATAGAACAGAGGATGAAAGCCTATCAGCCAAACCAGCACAGACTAACTTCATATTTTTAAATCTGATTATAAGAAGCAGTTTGCTCAGGAAGCCTTGCTTGTCCAGCACTTAAAATTTCCCTCGAGTGGTAGAAATGCTAATTAATATTCACAGAGCTAAAACTGTTCAGCTTAATGGCGAGACTTCTTTTTATTTTTGTCTTATTTCTACTCTTCCAAACAGACCAAGGTTTTCTTTCACATTAAAATAAATGTAGGCCAAAACCCAGCTGACATGATGATGAGACCAATTTAGCTAAGTACAGAGACTGAAACGGTGTAGTCAGTTTAGCATTAGATAATAGTTAAGATTGTGCTCTAAGTTGAAATGCTCCTTCAGTGAAAACAAGCCCTAAGAGGATGACGTCAGAGAGCACAGGAAGCTTACTAGGGCAGAGACTAATATGAATGAAATTAAGTGAAAAGAAAATGTAAGCTGTCAAGCCTTCCAGCTTGAGCTGTAATATACTGTAAAATAAATTTCCAAAAGAAAGGGCAGATGTAATGTTTTAGCCAGAAAATGTAAGACTGCATAAATAATAGTTTGTTAATTGATGGTCTTTGCAGTATATGTGTCATGATACTATAAATACTATAAATAATGTTCCTGCGTGGGTTGCATGTGTCTGTAGTTTTGGTAAAAAAGACGGTTTACAACTGGTATAGACAAAACCATATTTGATAGTTAAATCCAAATGATTACTGCATCCAAATTCATACGCTGTGGTTTTCCAAGTCAAAGCTGTGTTCAGTCTGTGTCCCATGCAGGGAGAGCGGCTCTTAGCAGCCGTTCTAACACTGTGCCAAGTCGACTGTTTATAACCGGTATTTTCGTGAGTTGCAACATTATTACCCTATAGTTCATTAGCTTTAAATTGCATTTATTATAAAAGAAACTATACAAATGAATTTTGTCTTCTCCTTTTCAATGGACGCTTTCCGATCTTTGTGTCTGAGAATTAAATGAACATCCATAGAAAATGGGCTTTCAAATTAGTGTATATTTTGGCTGAAAATTGTTGACTTCACATATGTGTTACTTTATCACCAAACAATGTGTATATGCTATCAAAAGTAAAATTTCAGCATTTTAAGACCTTGTTTAGACATTTCTAAACATGGATCCATGCTTATGCAGATATGATAATCATTACTTTTTCCAGTACATTTTACTTTTACATGAAATCATAATATAAATTAATGTACTAAAATATATTTACTTTCTGTGTATTTAGTAGTTGTTAGAAACATTTATGTCGTAAGTCTGTTCATTGTTGCATGCACACTAAAACCTCCTCTGCTTTACAAATGGCACGCCTACTTCTCTTGCTCCCCTCCCACCACCACCTCAAACCCTGCCATAATGGTAGGAATTTGAAATCTGTGTAGAGGAATAAGAAAGATTGCTGTGCTTGATGTGCAATTTGCATATTATTGTTTTAAAGAAGAAATTATTGTAGCGTACATAACAGAATATATTTTAAAAGGAGATATTCTTTGCACATTTTATCTTTGGAGCAATAAGAAATTGTATCTTTCAAACTCCTGAACAACCTGTTTCTTTTTTATAAAATATACTGTTAGGGAAGAAAGTATTTTACATTTATAGGCTGTTTAAAAAACATTATTTTTTTTTAAGTCCTAGGCCACCAATTCCTCTCTCTCTCCTTCTATCAGAAGAAGAAGCAAGCATAGTAATTCAGTCTTTCTGGAGAGGTTATCGGGTAAGAGTAATCTATAATTATTTTGCTTGATGTTGGAAACCATAGGACTGTGAAGGCCCCAGGGAAAATCCTTACATAAATTTTAAGTAGGGGATACTATAAATAGCTGCTGAGACCCCCCATGGTTCATTGGCTTTGGATGTCGCTCTGCCTTATGCCTAGTGACTACAATTTTTTCACAGGCATTTATGCTGATGTAATCTCACTGTTTTCCTCAACAACAGAAAATCTGCAGAAATTCCATTTTCAAACGTACAATTAACACTGAACAATTTTCTTTTTTTTTTTTATTTGATCTTTGGCTAGTTGCTGAAGGATGAAGTGTTATTTTGCTTCGTGCAGGGATATGTGAGCGAGTGTGGAGATGCACAAGAAGGATTGGTGTTAAGAAATAAAAGCATACAGAAACAAAGGAGAAAAAACTGAGACCAAGAATGAGACAGAGATGTAGGAGAGGCGTGAAGGCTGTTATTCAAGGAAAGGGAAAACAAAATGGCGAGCAGATGTTGCAAGCCATGCTAGTAATACAACACTAATGCAATCCCAATTTAAGGGGGAAAAGCAAGGTGCATAAAATAAATACAAAGAAAATTGGCTAATACTATTATTTTGGAGGGCAACAGCCATGCTAAGCCTAGGGTACGAAATAAATTATTTTGTAAATCCTGAACAGATTCTGCCAAATATTTCTTTGAAACGCTCTAACACCTTCATGTCTTGGAAAGAAATGGACTTGAAATTCAGGTGACTTTGGTGACAAAGAAAGAAATGTCTTTGACTGCCTTTATCAAAATTTAAGCTTGTAAATAGTCTCCAGGTATAGCAGTAATTTTGTTGTGATGGACAGTGAGACATCTTCTGTTTGTATGTCAGGTGTTTAAATAACAATCAGTATAAAACAATCTCTGTTAAGTTCTTCTTTACTTCTTGTAACAAGCATGAATATATGAGTGGCTACTATAATGTGCTGTGCAGCCTAAGATGATGAAATACCTTGAAATGATCTTCTTGACTGATAGATTTTTGTCATGCTTTCTGCTTGTTCGTTTTCCTTTATTTTTCTTTTTTTAAACAGAGATGGCATTGACACTAACATTAATTAGCTCTGACAATATCACTGCAGGCATCCTTACAGTGGAGTATTGCAAAGGCAGCCGTTATCCAGTAACAGTTATGTTTGCTGAACAGCGCAAGGTTGCTCAGATACCTTGTGCTTCTACAAAAGCTTCTGAAGGGCACTATCCTTCCTTGCTATATATATTAACTTCAAAATTGTCACAGTAGTATTTGTCATTCTAAACCAGTTCCCAGAAATGAGAGAGAAACTGTAGCTATAAAAAGTAGGAGACATCAAAAATAATTCAGATTATAAAATTAGTTGTTACAGGTTTTAGCTTATTAGATCTGAAAGAACTTGGGTTTTTAAAAATTAAAATTTAAATTAAAATCAGAATATAAAATAAAAATCATTAGTAACAAGTTACTACATAGGGCAATGTGTTATCCTTAGGCTTGTAAATTAAGAGAACAGTAAGCTTAAATGGGATTTCATCAGATTAATGATAAAGTATGTTATAAAATTTACCAAACAATTCAGATTATTTGCTTTTAAAATAAATAGCTCTGTCAGTTAACACTGATTTATTGTGGCAATAACTGAATGCTTACAAATAATGCCCTTTTGCATTCTAAGGATATTATTGTGTCAGTATTTTAAACTCTTTGATGTTTTTCATTAAACCTTGTTTTATAATTCACAGAACTTGGAACTTTTAAACACTATTATTGAAATAAAAATTTACACATTGTGATAACATTGAATAATTAAACACAAGCACACATACGTATTTTACTGAGCGCTGTGACAAAGAAACAGTGTACTTCATCATTGGTCTTCTCAAGATACACTTTAAAGGACATAAAATCACATGCCATAGGTACTTGTTTGAAGATGGGAGGAGAAGGATTCTGGACTCACTGTTGGATTTCAGAAAAAGTAAAAGACTCAGAAATCTGGGCAGGATAGTTTTGTCTTTAACAACAGTTAAGACAAGTTTAGATTGTTTCACAGTTAAGATTGTTTAACAAACAACAATCCCAAATGCAAACCTTGTAGGTTTTTTATTATTAAACAATGTCATATAAAGTGTGAGAAACCACAGCAAGTTTTTTTTCTTGGACACATCTTCTATGGACTCAGACCATTCTTGAGGTATTTTGTTAACCATATTGATCTAGGCAGTAGAGTTTATCTAGTTCTATAACTGACTGAGCATTGTGTCTTCTCATGACACTTCACTTGTTTCTGCCCCATCTAGCTGAGTGTGCCTGTATCAAAAACACATGGCAATCAGCAAAAATGGATCAGGCAGTAAAGGTTTTTCTATGTAAAGGGGAAAAAAAAGCTATAGGTACAGAATACTGAGAACTTTTTGATAATAAGGCATGATCCAAGCAGTATATTCATCCTTATCTGAAGCAAATTTCAGAAAAATACTTGGTTTGGTAGTAACAATTAATGGCTGCCATCAACAAAGTCCTTTCTACAATCTTTCATACAAAGCCGTTGATGAGCACTCTGAAAATTATTTCAAGTTTAATAAAGAATTAAAATCCAGAACAAACAGCTGTGGAAACTACAACTGCTGAGTACTCTAAGGAGATCAGAAAGGAAGATGTCGTCTTGAGGGGTCTCTTTGAGGGCAAGGAGGAGCACCCAAATAAGGCTTGAGACAGCTCTGTCATCAGAATTCTTTCTCTTCGCTTCTCACTGTCCTCTTCTGTTGAGGTTCCATTCATCTGTTGTGGGCCAAGGCAGTATTCAGTATTTGATGAAAACCCTTGATTGATAGGTATCAATTTTCCAGGCACGTTTCCAATAAAAGAAGATATATTTCTTCACCCCTCTACTGCAGAATCTGTGCTTAGTGCCATTTGTTTTACGGGGTCTTTTTAATCTTTATGATTTGGATAACTATTCTAGACTGAAGGGATTTTTCATTAATACGGTTTCCTCTAATGTCTCTGGTCAAAGCTTTAGTGTTATCCTTCCACTGTTGTCCAACGTGTTCTCACCTAGCATTGAAAGCAGTTTATTTTGACTAAATCTTGTAATATCGTGGTGTTTAAATTGGACAGCATTATGTAAATATTCTATTCTATACATAAATATTGCTTGAGCAAAAGTTAAATCAAAACTGAAGCAGGTTTATCTTTATATCTTACAAAGTGTTGTTATGATCTTTGTGTCTTACAAAGTGGTGTTGTGCTTTTGCTATCATAATTTATATTCCTTTCCAGCAAGTTGTGGCTACTAGCAAAGGCTCAAACCCAGAAGGTCACACAAATATTCACAGTTCTTTACAGCAAGCGTAGATTCAATACAAGTGACTTGGGTAAGAGTGAACTCTCTCTTCAAAGTTAAGACTCCTTCAGTGCTTCATGCGTTGCTGGTCTGCAGGAGATACACATCAGTTGTTTGGACAAGACTCTTGACCCTTTAATTATTTGCCTGGAGATTTTGGTGCTTTTTAATCATGGTAGAATTGCCCTCTGATTACAAAATAGAGACTACTTTCTGAGGCATTATCACAACTATGCTAAATTATAATCTATTAAGCATATTTAGAACATGTTGATAGTATTTTGTCAAGTTCCTGTTACCTGTTTTACTGCAGGGGATGTATCTGTGTTCCTTTTTCTTTTCTTTCACTTTTCCAAAAAATCACTTTGTTCTGGGAGCTCATGTTCACTGCTTGGATTTAATGTTGGAGTCTGGAGTATTTGAGTCTATCTGACTATGCCTTTATCTCAGAGCCCTGTATTTTGCTATGTATTTCACTATACTTTCACTATTTTATTTATCTAGGGAGAGTATACAGAATCTACTATACTTGCCTTTTATCTTTTAACTGTTAAGAGTTATTGTCTTCATTTTCAGTATACAGAGATCACTGCGGCCCTGTCATGGGCCAAAATACAGGTCTTACATAGCTACAGTTATAAATGGGCAAAAATTTTCAAAAATTTTATAGTTAGAAATAGAGGTAGTAATTTCCCTACCTTCCTGCCTCTTTTCTGCTACTGTCATTTACACGTCCCATAAGCATTCCCTTAACCCTTTCCTGTGCAGATAACCTGACTCCATGTAATAGGGAATTATGGATTCTATAAAACCGTACATGACTGTATAAAAGAAAAAAATGTCTCTTGCAAGCCTAAAGAAACTATCCTGTGTTTGGGATTATATTGTTTTTTTGGAAACAGTATTTGATGGATTTAATAGAAAATCATTCTGATTTTTTGTATAGCTGAAAAGATCACTAGTAACTTTTTTTTTTTAATTTTTAAAATTTCATCTCAACCTTGTAAGAACTTCATCTAACTTTTATAGAAGATAATACAGAACTATATTAGTATAATGCGATATTATTAGAGGCCTAAGAGGTATCTGATGTCAAGTCACTGAGTAAAAGTCTTGCCTGTCTTTATTGATCATGTAACCTTGTATTGTATTTCTGCTCTGCTAGTGCAGTATCTGAAATAGAGCAAGTTATCTTCTATGTGGATTGAAAAGTGTTGTGGGAGTTCAGCTACTATCTATTGCAGTCTTAGCTGCACCACAAAGGAGAAATTCTGTATGGAAAGAATACTTTTGATAAATAATTTATATTGTTTTCTTTAAGGGTTTGGTTTTTTTTCTGTTAACTAGTGGAAAACTAAGTCCTGCTCTTTTGCTCTGTATGTATCTCAGGAAAGTGGGAGAAAACCAGAGTGTAATGGAGTAGAGTTCAAATCACAGAGCAAACTCATTACCATATCATGTAAGAATAAAATAAATATAAGAAATTTTCTAGAAAACTAAGTAGTCGGCTTCCTGAAAGCAAAAGTGTGCGAGGAGAAAGCAAGCTTATTGCTGCTTGTTTCTACCATGTTATTCAATTTCAGCCTGAATTACTAGGACATAATGACATTTTATATACGTAACATTTAGAAAAAATAGAAACTGCATTTTTAATAATTCTATTATAATTTGAATGTGACTCTAAGAGAATAATCACTTACCAATGTCTAAGCTAATACTAGCATGTCCCCTTCCCACTATTGTCAGAGGGACAGTAGCACTGGAGGTAGTAATTGTGTGAATGCCAAGGTAGACAACTGGCAACATACTGCTATAATTAATCAAATCCTGTTTAGAACAAGTGCAAGTAGCAGAGTGGTAAAAGCTGTTGATGCAAAGCTAGCTCTTTCTTATATTAGTAGGATCTACACCAGTACAAAAGCAATAATAGAAGAATTCAACTTAGCTCTTAAATGGAGTCAAGGCCTGTGACTATTGTCATTTTATGTGGAAGCAGAATTACGCCCTTCATAGGGGTGACTGACGGACAAAGAATAGATATCATGAAATGCATTCCAATTACTTTAAATAACAGATTAATGGCTCTCCTGTTTGTGAAAATTGTATGGCTGGGATTGTCAGTAAGCCTATTTGCAGCTGGTAGCAGGTGTGAATCAGTTTGCTGGAATAAATTTCCTGCTGTATGACCCTTCATGCTCCTCTTCTGCTCTATTATGTTGGTCAATGGGTTGGTTTTTATAGTGTTGTGGTTTTCTAAAGGCACTAATACCCTTCAGCATAATGCTTTAAATTTTAATTAACTCAGAGAATAAGCGTCTCGCTGCAATCACATTCTCAGGAGTCCTTGGTAATCAAAATGATCCCCTAATTGGCATATTTATGTTTTCAATGTGGTTTGTCAGTTATGTGGGTTTTATTTCTGTATAAGTTGAAAACTGTAAACCTCTGGGATTGTGATTTTATATCAGGCCTTGCAAAAAGGATGGATGTCATGTATTTGCCCAGCCACAGCCCCATGAAAAAAATTGTCTCATTGTCTTGGGTAACGTGAACGTATATAATTTTAGTTGCATTTTCTGTTTTCCCTTTCCCAGGTCCGCTGCGATAGTGAAATACAAGAGCTACGTCAGTGGCAAAAGCAGCTGAGAGAGGACAAAAACATTATTAAAAAAGTGAAAGAATTCTGGGCTAAGCAGGAAGCCAAAGGTAGGTGAATTAAACTGTATATTTTAATGATTTTTCTTTTTACATTAAGTGTTTAATTTTTATATTTCAAGTTGTATTAAGAAATGGGACACACCGTAAGACACGAATCACGAGCAAAAAGGCAATGTCTGTTGGAAATGCCTGGATGTTTTACAGTCACTACTTACTCTAAGTTAGTTGCCTGTATAGCTGAAAGTGGCAATTAAAAATACAGTACAGGGCCAAAGCTCAATAATTTCAGAGGACTATGATAATGTGCTGGCACAGTATTTCCTAGGGCAGGATCAGACCCCTGCCAGCTACACAACGTGTAAATACTGATTTTTACGAGACGGGTTGTTGTACAGTTTTTCTGAACTGTGGGATTTCTATTTGGTAAATGTTCTACTGGCATTTTCCTGTAGTTATTTATAGCAGAAGTTGGCCTGTACGGTTCTAAAAAAAGAAAACAAACCCAAACAACCCCATATAATTGCCAAGGGAAATGAGGCCAGATTGCTTTAAGAACCGACACTGTAACACGTGTCCTTTTTGCCCTGATTGTGGACAAGGCTTTACTGACAAGGCCAAAGTTATCATTCACTTACTCAGGCACAGAGGTGTAATTATGATTATTTGCCCAGCCTCTTTGTCTACTAACGCAGGAGGATTCACTAGCTCCTCAACCAGTCTACATTTTATCAGCCTCTGTGGGCTGGACTCAAACATGATACACGGAGGGATGTGAACTGCACACCAGTAGATGGAGGTGAGAAGAGGTCGTTCAGCTATGTTGTTCATGTGTTGAAGAGAGGGAAAATTACGTTGTACCAGTCACCGTTGTGTGGTCCTTCAGTCTGATGCCACTGTCGCAGATGTGTTCTCAGATGGCTGATCTTTGCCCTGAACTACATAAGAGCATTCAGGGTGCAGTTTCACACAGTCAATTGGATCAAACTGGTAGCTGCCAAAAGGGTTGATCCCACTCTGTAGCTCTTGCATCAATTTTAGTGATTGTGTAACTGCACCATGGGTTTGGATCAGTGAGGGGTTTTGGTATGGGGCAGGTTAGTTTTCCACAACGTTGTTACCACACAATTCCTGTACCTAACACAAAGGAAAAAGTGAACTGGGGAGAGAGAGGGATAATGACTTTCAGCAGCCCACAGTTTGCTTAAACTGAGCAGAATATGAGATGGTATTCTCATACCTGGTTACTGTTCATGGCTGAGAAAGTGCCAGTCTCCAGGTGACTGGCAGGAGTTAAAAGTGAGGGGCAAGTCATGGCTTAGAACTCATCAGGTCAGTACACAAAAGCACATCTGTCGATGCCCTCCGTAATTCTGAGCCTGGTTTTTGTGAGACTTCACTGAGAAAGGAAAAACTTACATTTGAATCCCTGCAGGGTGAGAGAGTTTAGAATCAGGTTTCTGTGAAAGGTTTTTAAGTGCTGAGTCCTGTCAGTGCAATACCTACTATCCAGAAAAATTCTACAACTCTGGATTTCAAGTGACAGAAAATTGCTGATGTGCAATCTGGAATTAGGCAGCTTAACGGGAGGCCTCTGTCCTCTGTGTTGCCGAATGACCTAGGTAGCTTTTCACTCAGCATTCAATATTTGTGGGTCACCATTTGGAGCTCTTTATCTTTGCTGTCTCTGTAGACCATGCCATTGTTTTGTTGGTTCACCTTCAGGTGCCCAGTTTCTACACATTTAAAGTCTAAGCTGAGACATTGAATATGTCCTGCTGGGTCTTCACTCAAATATTTTTTTCTTTCCTTACTCTCTATGCAACTTAACTGTTCTTTTTAATTAAATGGAGTTATTGTACTCATGCACATATATGAAACAGGGTATTCTGGAATTAAGTGTTTGACATCCTCACAGTATGCTTTATTTTAGAAACTACAGTAAGACTGTCCATAAATAAATAGTACTTATTAACATCACTGCTGTAGCAATCGGAGCTTGTCGTAAGTGACTAGAGCCTTGCAATTCTTCAATAACTCTAGTCATCAAATCTTTTGTGGCTATTGTTAATTTCAAAACTGTCCTGCTTGTTAATAGATGATACAACTAAGACTTCCCTATGAAGCATTTTAATTATAAAATAGTCCATGCTCTGTAAATGTGAAAGGAATTAACAGCAGTCAGGTCATTAACCTGATGCACTGCAATTATTCTTTCACTTTTTATTGTGCATCCATTCTATCTATCATTAGTTACAAGTAGATCAGGCTAAACGGATGACATGAAAGTTCCACACATTTCCTTTTCTGCTTGCCATCTTCTTTTGAAATTTTTGCCTAAAGGTGAAAGAAGTTTCGCCTTTCACATATGCGAAAGGAGAAATCTGTCACTAGTAATGATCATTATAACAACTGGGATTACAAAATAGCCTCTTGTTTTCAGTTTTCCTTTTTTTGATGTTTTTTCCTTCACACAAAATAAATGTAATAGGCACTTGGGGCTAATAATAACATTTTAAACAAATGCTGGACTCTTTCTTGTGTGAAATCCCAGCACTTTCAGATGGGCTACTTTTTATAATACCAGCAAACACAAACATTTATTGGTAAGTTCTCCATGTTTTCAAGCTTCCCCACTGGCAAACCTTTGATTCCCTAAACGTCTTTTCTATTATTTCCTGTTTGTACTTGCATATCTGTTGGATAGCACTAGTTTTTAGGACATCTAGTCAGGGTAATGTTGTAGTGATATGGTGTTAAGTTTGTCCGTCAAGCCTTCTGAAGTGTATGCCAAACACCAACTAATTCTGCAATCAGAATTGGATAAGTAGGTATTTCCAGTGGGTATTTTCTAATGAACACAGGGTTCAGTAGTCATAGTATAAATCTTTCCAGTAAATATCTTAATACATGGTGCTATTGTAACACAATTTCTCCTCTATTGTGTAAAGTGGAAAAGTATTTAAACCCACTCTCACATAACAACTGTGCAGCAAACTCCAGGCTGTACTGGGAGCAAACATTTTAAAAGGCTGCTCTGGATTTCTGAAGTAATCCACATTTTGTCACATAACATGAAGTGAATCAGTGGCAACTCTCGTCCTCCAGGACAGTATTCACTGTTAAAAAGCTGCCTCTGCGTGCCTCCTCCCTTAATCCTCTGCAGTGCTCACCCGCCAGTCACATCCACAAGCTGGTACCACAGGGTGATTTAATGTTTGCAACTGAGAGAATCACGGTCAAGTACTGCATCCACCATATTCCCCAGGGCCCGGACAACCTCAGCAACTCCTCCTGGCTTACCTACGCTACATAAAGCTCTTGCACAGAGGGAGGTCTGTCTCCAGTTCTGCTGCTTTCCCTGTGATGAGAGATGGTGACTGCAGCAGCAGCTACTGGATAGTTCTGTGGTTTCCATGTTTGCAAGTGCAAGGAAAAGCATTTTCCTGTTGGAGGTACTTTTCCTGCCCAAACAGCCATTCTTTGTGATCTCCAGGGAAAATGTGTGAGCTGGATTGAAGCTCCTGCCGGCTAGCTTCAGCTGCATCATGCTATTTAGGACTAGAGGAAATGGCCTCAAGTTGCTCCAGGGGAGGTTTAGGTTGGATATTAGGAAAAATTTCTTCACTGAAAGGGTAGTCAGGCACTGGAACAGGCTGCCCAGGGCAGTGGTTGAGTCCCCATCCCTGCAGGTATTTAAAAGATGGGTAGATGTGGTGCTTGGGGACATGGTTTAGTGGTGGACTTGGCAGTGCTGGGTTAATGGTTGGACTTGATGATTTTAAAGTTTTTTTCCAATCTAAACGACTCTATGATTCTATTTCATAGAATGTGTCCAGTAAAATCTGCTTCCATTGTAATATTGCAAGATTTATACTATATGTATTACAGCCTGAGTTCCTTAGAAAATATCCAGTGGAGAAAGCTACTTTTCCAATTCCAATTGCAGAATTAGTTGGTGTCCTGCGTACACTTCAAAATGCTTGACATTGTTCCAATGTTTCTTCCCATTGTTAGGAGTTCTTGTCATAAGAAGGAGTCTGCATTGATACCAGTGCTATACAAATAGCAATAGATTCCTTTGAGTAGATATTTAGATACATTGAGAGGCAGGCTTATAATTAAGAAAGATGGTAAGGAATGACAACCTCAAAAGCAGTTCTGCATGTCTACACCACCAGTAGGACCACAATGGAAGCTATTCCTCCAGGTTGTATTTCAGCTGGGAAGGCTTAAGTGTGAATTCAGTCTGCAGAATTTTCAGGGTAGAATTTTTGAAATTATAATGATAGTTAAGTATCAGCTGATATCAAAGCTGTCATAAAAGAATAATTTTTCAAAAGACACTGTTTTCAAAACCTTCCTTTATGTATCGTGGCCTCCTCAGTTGCCTGGCTATTACAGTATTATATATTGCAAGGTGTTACGAGCTGACACGCTTTTCTGTGTCTGCACTGTGCTACGTGCAGGACCTTTTGATCACTGCTTCGCTTCATTATGAAATGTTCAGAACAAAAACAGTTTTCTTCTGGGCAGTATACATCATAGTACAAATACCAAAACTGGAAGACTGTCATGATTTTTTTTGTGATAGCAGTTTGTTACAAGGGCTGCATAGATGTTCCAAACATTTATTCATATTTATATTGCAGTTTTAATCCACAAAAGGTCAGGTTTTATTTACCAACCCATGCAATTGCCTAAGGGATATTTTATAGCTGAAGAGAATTCATTCTGAGGAGCAAAATCATACATCACAACAGGAAAAACTGCATTTATATGCGTGTATATATATGGGTGTTCGTATGCAGTAAGTGAAGTAGAATGCTTGGCTTCAGTAGCTTGGAGCTAGAAGATTAAACAAAGTAGTAACTAGTAACAGTGTACAAAAATGATGAAAAATAAAATCCGTAAGTTGTCTACCAGTAGACCTGACTGATATGTAAATAAAACTTTGGCAGAGCAACCAAGGTTTTCTTCAAGTCTTTGTGGGGTTTCATAGCCTATTTACTATGGTTTATTAAGAGTTTACTTTGAAAAAAAAAAAAAAAGTAGGCATTTTTTTTTTTTTTAAAGAAGACATAAATAGATCTGTTTTTGAAGATCGGAAACCAGTGGATTCAAATTTACTATGATAAAATTTGTCTCATTAGAAGTCTAAAAAAAAAAAAAGCCAAATTCTTCTCTTTGTAATACATATTTAGTTCTGGCAGTGTTAATTGT